CATTTAGCTGTGTTCTGTTTTGTATGTATTTTATTTTATTTGTTTCTTATTTCATCCATGTTTTCAATTATCAGACTAAATTTGACAATAAATAGTTTCAAAATATATTTTTTGCAGATTTTAGTTTTTAATATTAATTTACAATATGGTCGCCCAACACTTAACAATAGCCTCTACCTCAAGAAGTWGAGGAGCCAAATGGCTGGCTCACTGCTGCCAACTAGTGGTCAGAGGCTGAACTACAACATAAAAATGAACAGCTAGCAGGAAAGTTGACATTTTAAACCTTAATAAAAAAAAATTGATACAGGGCTTTAGAATATCGATACAGTATCAGGAAATGAAATATCGCGATATTTCAGTGTATCGATATTTTCTTACACCCCTAGTCTCTAACAAGATTCTTGAGCACAAGTTTTTTCACTTGGGTAATTTGCATAAGCTTGCGTAAAATTTGTGCGTGTGTGTACATGTTTTTGTTACCTGGTGGGCACGGTTCATTTTCCTGATACATAGCCTTGTGAGGACTCACTGTTCCTTATGGGGACAAAAGCCCGGTCCCCATTGAAGGAAATACCGTTGATGGATCAGAGGTTAGGTTTAGGACTAAAGTGTGAATTGAGTTTAGGTTAGGTTTAGGGTGAGATTAGGTTCAGTGTAAGGGGTCATGGTTAGGGTAAACGACCTTGAAATGAATGGAAGTCAATGCTAAGTTTCCATGAGGATAGACGTAGTGTGTGTGTGTGTGTGGGGGGGGGGGGGGCACCTGTGGAGAAAGGGGCTATAGTTCCTTTCCTCAGAACTGTTGTTTTATTGAAAAATAGCTGAGCCTAAAGTTGTAAGTGAGAGAAATGTTGTGTTGCTCATTATAGAGCACACAGAGCCTGAAAACGATCCAATGGCAGGAATGTTTCTATTGTGAACAGATGATGTTTTTCAGGAAATTCCACAGACTGAATCACAATGAAATCATCTGAATTTAAAAAGCCTCCAATAGCACAGTCCTTTTAAAGTTGAGTGCTATGCATATTTTTAAGTAAACTAAAACAAGGCTGTTCATACCTATATGAATAGTATTTGTTCTTCCTGTAAGTCTATGCCACTTTTTCTCTCTTCCCTCACAGAGACATTACTCCAAAGCTTTTCCCTCAGTTTTTGTCAACAAGCTGAGCCACAAACATTCATTCAATGTATCACACCAATTGTGAAACAAACGACATTAACAGATTGTTTAAAAAGGATATGTAGATTTAGACAAGAAGCCTAGGACTTGCAAATATATTACAGATCAGCCACTGAATTGAGGAGTTTTGAAAACAATCTGGTAAGTCAATTTGATAAGAATAAAAATTTGAAGTAAAAGCTCAAATAAAGGTGAAGTAAAGAAAAGGTCAGATTCAGGAACTGAGAAATATGCCTCCTCCTGGCATCACCTTCACAGTGTCAGTGAGAGTGGACGTACCCGATGATGCGCCTCTCTGAGTACTCCTTTCTCTTGGAAAAGGAGTCGGTGAGGTTGAAGAAGGTCCGTGCCGGGATCACGGCAGCTTGACACGGCACGGCTGCTCCCAACAGTGGAGGAATACGTGTAACCAGAATCCCACATGACGACAGGTATCTGATCAAACAAATAATGAGAACACAAGGGTAGGCTATCAGTAACAACAAAGACAATCCCACACYGACTCAGTTTAGAAACCATATTTGATTTTTCCCAGTCCAGCTTCGATAAATCCATTTCTGTCCAGGAAAATAAGTGCTGAACACTAAACGTTTATTCAGTCACAAATTCCATCGTTATGCAATCAGTGTTTGAATGGAAACAATATAGTCTGAATGCTGAATCAGTAATCAATCTATTGTTTTCTTGTTTTGTTTTTCGTAAGTTTTTTTACAGTCTCTTTCTGCATAACATTTTACTTTAGCTGTTCACATATCAAAGTGTTAATCTCATTCCAAAAATATCTGCTATGTTTTTTTCCTATAACTTTTATACTTTGCAAATATTTTATTATATGCTTAATTATGTTTGTTTATTCTGAATTCTTCCACTGACAGCTGGTGTTTGACTTCAGAAAGCAGCCTTTCTCCAAGGCAGAAAATTCTATCTAGGTGGAAGTTCAACAAGGTGAACCTTGTTGAACTTGTTGTCAGTACTCTGACCTAGGTAAAAAAAAAAAAAAAACATCACTTTTGCTTTGTTTACTTGTTACTTCTGCTCTCTGATCATCTCTTATCTGCAACTGAAATATCAAAGACAAAGAAGTAATTTTCAAACTACCCCCCCCCACACACACACACACAGGTTTGTATTTCTATCCTTATTAGGACCGTTCATTGACTTCCATTCATTTCCAGTAATTTCTACAGCCTA